GCTGCTCCGCCGTTTCGGCTGGCCGACGTTCGGGCCGCCATTCCGAATCATTGTTGGGTTAAGGATCCTTGGAAATCAATGAGCTATGTTGTGAGGGATGTGGTTGTTGTGCTTGGATTGGCGGCTGTTGCTGCTTACTTCAACAATTGGGTTGTTTGGCCTCTTTACTGGTTTGCTCAAGGCACCATGTTTTGGGCTCTTTTTGTTCTTGGTCATGATTGGTAATTTTCTCTGTTCAAGAAATTGAATCTGTCCTCACTGTCTTCCAATGCTTTTAATTCCTTTCCCTGGATTTTCTAATTCTTGGTTGGATTTGCAGTGGCCATGGAAGTTTCTCTAACAACCCAAGTCTGAATAGTGTTGTTGGTCATCTTCTTCATTCTTCAATTCTAGTTCCATATCATGGATGGTTAGTTCCCTGATTACCTTATCAAAGACGAATGTCTTCCAATCGTTGGTTGATGTTGATCATTATTCTCTGCAGCTTTAACTCTCTATCAGAAATGTAAAATAGTTCTGTTTATCTTGTTTAACTCAGGAGAATAAGCCACAGAACTCATCACCAGAACCACGGTCATGTCGAAAACGACGAATCATGGCATCCTGTAAGTTCTTTATCTCTAGGAAGCAGTTTGTAACAAGAAGAGGCTATTTTTTTCAGTGTCATTTAATGGCAATATGTTCATATCTGTTTTGCAGTTGTCTGAGAAAATTTATAGGAGTTTGGATAAAGCAACTAAAACATTGAGGTTCACCTTGCCTTTCCCCATGCTTGCATATCCTGTTTATCTGGTTAGTACACTCTGTTTCTTCACCCTTCTTTATGAACTTCAATGCTATGCCAGTGTTTTGATGGATTATAATGCATCCTGTTGGTGGCATTACAGTGGAATAGAAGCCCTGGAAAGAAGGGCTCTCATTTTGACCCGAGCAGCGATTTGTTCGTACCGAGCGAGCGGAATGATATCATTACATCCACGGCCTGTTGGGTTGCAATGGTTGCTCTGCTTGGGTGTCTGTCCGTAGTGATGGGTCCCCTCCAACTCCTCAAACTCTATGGCATTCCCTACCTGGTGAGTTCAGCTCCGGTCACGAATCCACGACGAATGCTTTTCAGTATTCATTAAGACTTCTACGTTTAGTCGACTTTTTTTCAATACCATCATTCCCTTGTGCACTCTTTTGAATGTTCTTCTTCTATATGCAGCTGTTTGTCATGTGGCTGGATGTGGTCACGTACCTGCATCACCACGGTCACGACGACAAACTTCCTTGGTATCGTGGAGAGGTATGCTGATCAAAGCTTTTCAAGTGTTCGATGTCAAATTTCAAGAACTAACACATAAAAGTATCATGTTTGACACAGTTTTATTAACTTGGCTGGCTCTGAATTTCATGATCAAACAGGAATGGAGTTATTTAAGAGGAGGATTAACCACTCTCGATCGCGATTACGGATGGATCAACAACATCCACCATGACATTGGAACCCATGTCATTCACCATCTCTTCCCTCAGATCCCACACTATCATTTAATAGAAGCTGTGAGTATACTTGAAATCTAAACTTATCTTTGTACTGCATCTTCAAAATTCTCACTGAAAACTGTAATCTAATGGTTTCAGACCGAGGCAGCAAAGCCAGTGCTTGGGAAGTACTATCGGGAACCGAAGAAATCCTTGCCTCTCCCACTTCACTTGTTGGGAGTTCTCGTAAAAAGCATGAGGAAGGATCACTATGTGAGCGATTCTGGGGACATTGTATATTATCAGACTGACCCCAACCTCTCTGGATCAAAGCAACAGAACTGATCATTCACCTAACTAATATATCAAAATTCTTTGCAAATAGCACTTGCTGGCGAGCCATTCAAGTTTCGAATATCACTGGTTGCCAAAGCTTTAAAGGAGAAGAAGAAGCTGCTTGCTCATGATGATAGTACTGTTTATGCTCTTAGGGTATCAGAGAAATATTTATTACTACATGATAGAAAATGCTGGCATTATTTTTGCTTGCTGTCTGTTTAAAGAAAAGATATGGATGGACAAGTTTTCATAACCACTGAAATGGGGAGATCTGTGATGTTCTAAAATGTCCAGTAAATGCCACAATTTCATTTGTCAACAAAGTAGAAGCAGACAATCAGCTAAATGGAATGTTAAAGTGCAGATACGAAGAGAGGATTCAAATACAACTCATTAGAGTAACGATGCTAATAATTTAACCACTTAAGTTACGTTTACGCAGACAAAAGCACTAGATTCTGATTTCATATTGTTGGATCCTCAAACAAGAGGGAATTATTCGCTGCATCAAATGAAAGAAAGAAAACAAAGTAGAGATAGCCTGTGGTTATACAAAATGATTGTTTATAGGACTAAATCAGTTGTTCTCTGAGATTAATTAAGAAAATTGGATACTTTTAGATACTCAGCTTTCTTGATCAATAGCTTACTGAATGAACAGCCGTCAAAAAGGACTTGATTCGAGTGAGATCCTTCTGAATCCCATCTGAGCCACAAATTCCACTGCTAACATCAACTCCATGAGGCTTAAGAATGGATAGGGCTTGAGATACATTTTCTGGATTGATTCCTCCAGCCAACAGCCAACCTTGCTTGCTTCTAATTATTGGTACCTCAAACTGGGCCCAATTGAATCCCTTCCCACTTCATGCAACAGAATAAAAGATAATAAATTAGCCCCATATGACATGCTGGAAGAAAAGTCCAATCTGCAGCTGTTAACTGCTTAGCCAAATCAACACGTTCTTTCAATTTATTTATTGGCTTAGGATAGCATTTCTAGCTAATACAGTAACATACTAACATGCAGAATTAAATAATCTCAGCAGCAGATAGCGATTGGTTTGTGGAAAAAAAAACTCTAATCCTGTTTGTTTTGGTTTCGGGACATTTATAGCCTATTTTGTTTTGGTTTTTGTGCTGTCAAATGTTCTAATAATTTGAGTGCACTTGGCTTAAAATTCAATTATTGTTGCTATTGTTGATTTAACAGAAATCTTACCCGAACCATGTAGAATTGTGTTTTATGAAAGTTCAACAGAGAAAATCAAAACAGTTTAAAATGTGAGGACAAGCAAAATATGGAACATGTTGCTCTTGTTCTGAGGGCATTGGAATAGAAACGAGCCAAAACCAGCATATAGAAGATGTACCTGCCACCCTTGGCACTGTCAACAAGAATCCAATCGACCAAAGAACAGGCCTCAGTTGAGATGTCATTTAGAAGGCTTCCATCTTCATTTGCATGAAGAACATAAATAATTCGATGATCGTTGACTAGAAGCGGCAATGCTGCCCGCGAACTATCTCCGTGAAGCTGTGAATCCAAACCATTTAGAGTAAGAATATTATTTCTATTCACAAAGAGATGGGGTGAACAAAAAGATTTACCTGCACAAATTCAAGTTCACATTCTTTAGCTGCTCGTGATATCGTTTCGACATCATCATCAACAAACACTCCAACAGGCTGTGCACCATTTTGTCTTGCAATTTTAGATATCTCCTTGGCAACTGAGAGAGAAACAGAACGCTTTGAGTTTGGCCAAATAATCATCCCAATAAAATCAGCACCAGATTCTGCTGCCAAAGCGGCATCTCTTGCCGATGCAATACCGCACATTTTAACAAGAACCCTGTCCTTTATATGGTGTTCAAGGCTTGAAGATACATTCTCTAGCTCAGAAATGCTACAAGCAATTTTTCTCTTTTGACAGGGCCAGTTTCTCCAAATGTATGAACTGTCCCTATTCAAACCTGCAAAGAAACATAACTAACATGAGAACTGAAATAAAATATTCTCCAACATCCATAAAATCGACAGCAAAAAGACCAAGAAAAGCCAGAACAGTGGCTCAGAAATGAGTGGACATGATCAAATTGAGCTTATCTACAATTGAAACTTTCAGGCATTGAGTTACTAAAACATAATGGGGCAAAAAATACCATGAAACTGCTGCCTTCTATACACATTTGCAACTTGTGGCCGAAAGTAGCTTCCATTAGTTAAGCCTGAAAAAATGGAAAGAGATCATGGTATCAGGGGTTCAAACTATAAGGAAAGACAATCCGGAGATCGAAGAATTAAATAGTTCATTCTTGAACAGCAAAGAATATGACAAGAAAAAGAAAGAAAATACCACCAGCATGCTATCTGATACCTGGGAAAGCAATTAAATGGCATACATTTTCTTCGAAACTCCATTTGACAGTGATGAACCAGTAAACGATGAATTATTATGAACCCCTTATAAGACTGCTATGGGGGGATATTAAAGCGTCGGGGAGGCAGCGAGAAGGCAAAAAAAGAAAAAAAATTCATTTTTGGGAAATTCATCGAACAGTTGGTAGGCAGTGCAGGTGAAAGAAGGGGAAAATCTCGAATGCTCTGGAACAATATTGTATAATCGTACCTGAAATCATTGTTCTCCCCCCTTTCTTCACGCGCTTATTTCTGATCAAAATTTGCTTCAGATGAAGTTAATTTGATAGCCGAAGAGAAATGCAAATGAGGAACAAATCTTTGTTCTCAGAATTCTTGGTTTGTTTTTCCGGTAAAACTATTCTCAATGGGTAAACTGAAAACGAAAGTGAAATTCAAAATTTTATCAACCCACGTAAAAATTAGTGAAATGGATTCTTAATGAGCTGAAAAAAAACCTGATCTAAAGCCAAAGCCATTTCTCCTCTTCTGGTCAGCTGACGCCTCCTCTAATATTGTTTTTAATTATATATTTATTTCAAGGTAAAATTTATTTATTACCTATATACTAGTTTGATGAGTAGAATTTTTACATTAATTTTATTATTAGTTTTTTTAATCCAACTAAAACCTATATTAAATCAAGTGATGGGTAATTTTTTTAGTTCAAGTGTTGAGCTATGTTTTGTTTATTAACCAAGATGATTGGTAACTAGTTTTTTTTTTACCTGAATTATTGTTTTTATACTCTTTTGGTAAATATTTTTAGTTGGATATACATTTTATTGCAACATTTGAGATTTTATTATGAGATTTTCCTCATAAAAGATGCAAAGCTTGGAATGAACAACAACCAAAGGTAGAGTTGACAAAGACTAGAAAAATATGTGCAAATTAAAAGGGAAAAATGTGCCGAATAGGAAACTTCTTTACAAATATTAAATTTCGAGTAAATAAATGTTTGAGTTCAACAATTTAATTAGCATGTCGAACTGGATTAGTATTAAGATGAACTGTATTCACACAGTCGCACCAAAGAACTACTAGCTTATAACTTAGTAGATGCAATTACCGGAATTGTGATACAATAAAGAAATTGAAGTATCTATAAGCCGAGTGTAAAATCACTCAACATTTGCAAAATCGTCTAAATTGATAGAAAAATGTTTAAACAAAGTTAGGTTATGATATAAAGTAACCTTCAAACAGCGTAATGTGTGCTGAATGACCTAACGATATTGCATATTATAATTCCTGTAGCTTACTACTAATGGTGCAAATCTACTTAAATATTTGAAAGTACTTCTAGAATTTTTTTGAACTTTCAAAAAGTACTTTTAATCTTGTAGTCCCAATTTCAACACAGTTGACACTTTTGTTTGGTTCCATTACACGAGCTTTAATCTTTTTGGTTTAAGAGAGGTCTAATTAACTTTTTTTTTTTTTTAGTTAAAGAAAAGTTGAATAACTTTTGACTTTGAAGAAAATAAATTCATGTGTATAGTGAAATACATATCAATAAAGTTGATATAATATTTGAAATTATTACTAGAAGATATGAATAGCATCTTATATATTAATTAATTTACAAAAGTTCAAATAGCTTGGAATAAGTTGCATGTAAATTTGAAAAAGCATACCAAATTGGACTTTTCTAATTGACAAGAATGATGAAAATAAAAAATTAGATTGAAATATAATTGTTACAAGAAGTCAAAACTAGATCAATAATCTATATAATTCAAATAATTTCATTCAAATATATTGAATCAATACAAGCGAAGTGATTGACAAGAAGTTTGGTATTTAATTAATAGCACATAAAGGAGGGTTGAAATTCAAAGAAGATGTTGACGTTATTGTCTTTTGCAAACTGGCCTACACTGAAGAGGATGATATTCAAATAAGACAGTTGTCGTCTTTTGAAAATTGGTTGATACCAAAATTTTAAATGTACGAAAATAATGGATGTCTCAATTTTACTAAAATGTCGATAAAATAATATCGATCTCGATGAATATTTTTTAAAGATTATAAAAAAAACATTCAAATGAATAAATATGCATTTCAAACTTTAAAATGAGTTAGAAATTACTATTATTAATATTAGGTTTACATTAGTAATATTTTGGTTACATTTTCTTGATTTTTTAACGATATATTGAAAATATTGATTCGCCCTTCAGGTCGATCAAATTTATAGACATGTGGAAATGTCGATGAAAATGTTGATATGTCGAGAAAATTCCCATAATCAGTGAAACATGAAGTAAATTAGTTAAATGAATCTTGCTAGTTATCAAATCATATATTTCATTTCCTTTTCTTTTGAACCCAACAACGTAAAAATTTAAACTTATAGAAGATACATGTCTTAACGAGTTGGACAATGTTTAGATTGACATCACATTTTCGTTTCTAATTGGTATGCAGTGGATGTCAATCGTAACATGATAAGAAACATTGAAACTAGAATATCAATTCACTCAAAAGTTTGTTAGAGTTCACAAATGTTTGAGGGATTAAATTGGTATTATGGTTAAATTACAAATTTAGTATCTATAGTTTTAAAAGTTTCAATTTTGTCTTCGTGGGTTAGGCTGGATTTAATTTCAATTTGGTCCCATATGATTTATGATTAGTTTCAATTTGGTGCCTATTGGTTGAATCTCACGAGTTGTCCTTAAATTGTATTTTACCTACTTAAAAACTATCAATTTTCTTTTGTCCAGCTGTAAAGAAAAAAAATTCAATATAATAACAACATGGGACAATTTGTGAAGTTTGAGTAAACCACAAGGACCAAATCAAAACCTTTGAAACCAGTCGAAAGCATAGAAATTAAATTGAAACTCGTAAAACTATCTAGACCAAATTTGTAATTTAACCAAATATTATTCACATTTGAAGAATTGCATTAAAAAGTCTTGATGTTGCTAATTCCTTAAAAATTATCATCAAAGGCAAAAATAGCATTTTAAAATAATCTTTACCTTATTTGTTATTCCTTAACTCTTACCTCTATTGGTACTCTCTATTGATTTGATGAACCAAAGTGTTTTTGCCATTAGAAGAGGAATTCACTTGCACCTTCTTCTTTTGTTAGTTTTGGAAGGTTAGATGGGCTATGAGAGCAACTTTTTGCTAAATTATTCATAATTCTTGTGCTTTCAAAAGGGAACTCATTTCTTAAAATGATTTAACTAGAAATAGAATGATTCAACAAGTGTCGATGAGTATTTTCAAAGTTGACATAAAATAGAAATTTCAACCAAAAAAAAAAAATTGCTATA